CTAAGGGCAACCGGGACGAGCACCCCCAGAGTCAGCGAACGGGGGCAGCGACGGCGGCGGCGGCGGCGGCGGCGGTGACGGCGACGGCTGCAGCGGCGGCAGGGGCGGTGGAGGAGGGGACTGGGGAGGGGACACCTGGGGAGGGGCGGCCGGCGAGGACTGCACAGGAGGGCCACCAGAGTCAGAAGACTCCTCAACCGGGTCTACGGACGGAAGGGGGGTGACGTGGGAGACACCAGAGGGGGCGGGACGGGGAGGAGGAGGGGGAGGGGCAAGGACTACCGGGGAAGGGGTGACCAGGAACAGGGGGGGGGTAACTGGGGGACCACGGTGGGGGAAGCGGCGGTAGTAGGAGACGGACTCGTCAAAGGTGACGTCACGAGAGTGAAAGAACCGGTGAGACGGTGGGTGGTAAAAGTGCCAGTCGGACGCGTCAAGGGGAAAACCGAGGAAGACGCAGGGAAGGGTGCGGGCAGTGAGCTTGTCCGTGCCGGAGGCACGGACGTGAGCAAGGCAGCCCCAGACGTGGAACGCAGACGCGTCACCAGGAGACCCAGTCCACAGACGGGTCGGCGAAACGTGCGGCTGCTGAGGGTGCGGCCACAGGTTAAGCTGGTGAGAAGCGTAGCGCACAGTGAACGGCCACAGAAAATGGGGTGCACCGGCATGGATCATGGAGGTGCGAGCGACCTCCATGACCAAACCGATGCGTCGCTCAGCGACCCCATTCTGCTGTGGGGAGTCCGGTAGGGTGAACGTCTGGGTGATGCCCTCCGCACGACAAAAGCGACCAAGGACACCTGAGGCAAACTCGCCACCACGGTCTGAGTGAAGACGCAAGACAGGGAGACCGCGGTGGACACGCGCAGAGACAAGCCAGGGGATGAGGGCGCCAGGCACGTCGGCCTTGCGCTCCAGGGGAAAGACTGTGGTGTAACGAGTGAAGTTATCGACAAGCACAAGGAAGTAGCGCTCGCGACGCGGCCCAGGGACGGGGGCGGGGCCCCAGACGTCCAGGTGCAGGGTCTGTAGCGGCGCGGCGGTAGGGGGAAACGAGGAGGAGTGAGGGGCACGGCGAAGCCGACCCTCGACACAAGGCGTGCAAGGTGGGGCTGGGGAGGAGGGAAACGCGGGGAGCGATCCTGGGAGACCAAGGACAAGACCGTGCTGGGACATGTGACGCAGACGCGGGAGTGCAGGGTGACCTAGGCGGTGGTGCCACAAGAGGGTCGGGTGGGTGAGGGAGCGACAGGAGCAGGCAGCAGCAACCTGGGTAGACACAGCTACCTGAGGGGGCGCTCCAGCCGGGGGGGGCACGGTGTCCAGAGTGAACAGGCCGGACACCGGGTCCCGGGGGAACGTGGACAGGGGGGCACCAGTGGCGGCCTCGGTACCGACAGCATACCGCTCGTGACCAGGGAACGTAGTGGTGACGCCAAGGTCCTAGAGGCAGCCGACACCAACTAGGTTCCTGGAGAACGAGGGGATATGCAGACCTGTAAGAGAGCCCGAAGGAACCGCCGGACAGGGAAGGGTGGTGGAACTGCGGGCGACTACCGGAACGCCGGAGGGGTCAGCAAGAGAAACGGCAGCAGGAACAGGAAGCGGCGTCAGGGTGGTGTAGTCGCGGAAGAAACACCGAGAGACGCCAGAGTCCAAGGTGAAGGAAAGCGAAGCCGAGGGGTCTGGCGACGGAACAACGGCAGAAGCACCAAGACTACACAAAGCAGGGGATCCTACGCCTGACGCAGCATGGGAGGCTAAGCTAGGCACACCTACACTAGGCAACAGTGAGTAATAAGCGGGAAGCACACTAGAGTCATCAGCATACATTACATGCAGAGCAGAAACATTGGCATCCATGTCCATATCAAAGATCTGAATGTGACGACTAAGCAAACTGTGCTAGTCCGGGAGGTCTGGCGACGGGCCGAAGCGCTGACGAAACAGGTCGTCGAGGCGACGAAAACAGCGGGGAGTGGAGTGACCGATCTTACCGCAAACGAAGCCGCGGCGAGGACCGGTCTGGATCTGGTACTGACAACGCCCGCCGCCAGAGCCACCACGCGGCACACCACTACGCGCCCGGCCACTGCCAGCGCCGGGCCACCCTGGGGGGAGGACACTCGTCTGCCGCGTCTGCGACGGCTGCTGCGGCTGCTGCGAAGGCTGCGACTGCGGCGGCTGCTGCGGCTGCTGCAACTGCAGGGGCGGCGACTCAGCTGGACTGGGCAGGGTCCCCTCGTCCGCTCCAGCACCAGGCGACCCGCCCCCACCACAACCCCCGCCCGCACCCCCGCCGCCCCCGCCGCCGCGCCCAGCCTTGGGGCGGCGGCCCTTCCCAGAACGGGCCTGCGCTGCAGCAGCAGTCTCAGCCACTGCGGCAGAGCCGTCGGAGAAGGTGCACTGAGCGGGGGCACAACCCTGAAAGATAGGGACCGGCACGACACCGCTCGCCTGGGCGATGGAGCGGTGACGGGTCTCTATCACAGTCAGGGTGTTGACAAAGTCAGTGAGGGTGAGGTCTGCGGGGTGAACGCTAAGGAAGCGGTCGCGGGCGACAGCAAGGCGGTCAGGGAGGCGGGTGGCAAGAAGGTAGAGGGTAGAGGTAATGGGCGGCTGGTGGGCACTAAGCTGTGCGTCAGTGCAGGCGGCGCGCCAGGTCTCTTCTATCGAGCGCAGGTGGGCAGCGAGGTCAGAGACAGTGGGGAAAGAAGCAAGGTCAGGAAAGAGCAGGGGGAGGATCAGGCGACCCACCGAGGCAGCCGGAGGGGTGGAATAGCGCTGGATGACAGCATCTAAGTATGCCTGAGCAGTAGTGAGTGACCTAAAGCGAGGACGCTCGGACGGGGGGAGGGCGTTGCTAATGGCAAGCTGGGCGACAGCATCGCGAGAAAGCCAGACAGAGCGCGCACGGGCAGTGGCAGCAGTAGACTCACGCTCAGTGGGTGTGGGGTCAGCGGGCAGAATAGCAGGAGGGTCTCGGCAGGGGAGCGTACCGTCAAGGTGTGCGGAAAGCGGTTCACCATCCTGCCGCTGGCCAGTGAGTTGGCGGCGGAGGTCGGCAAGCCACGCCTCGATCTCTAGGGGCTGACCTTCAGCGTCGAAGCGAAGCTCCGCCGCCATCAGGAACAGTCCAGTGCGGTGCAGGGCGGTGCAGCGCAGTGCAGGGCGGTGCAGTGCGGTGCAGTGCGGTACAGTGCGGTGCAGTGCGGTGTAAGGCAGTACAGGGTGGTGCGTGGCGGTACGGTGCAGGGCAGTGCTGGGCGGGGTGGGGGGAAACCGTACCAGGGAGGAGGACGGGGCCGGGGCAGCGGGGCCGGGCGGGTGCGACCGGGCCGGGCGAGGACGACGGGGCCGGGCGGGCGCGACGGGGCCGGGCGGGCGCGACAAGGCCGGGCTGGTGCGACAGGGCCGGGCCGGGGCGACGGGGCCGGGCGAGCGCGACGGGGCCGGGCAGAGGCGACTAGGCCAGGCGGGGGCGACAGGGCCGGGCCGGTGCGACGGGGCCGGGCGGGCGCGACAGGGCCGGGCTGATGCGACGGGGCCGGGCGGCTGCGACGGGGCCGGGCGAGCAGGACGGGGCCGGGCTTGGGCGATGCAGGGGCCCAGGAGGGGCGCGACAGGGCCCAGGAGGGGAGCTACGGGGCCCAGGAGGGGCGCGACGGGGCCCAGGAGGGGCGCTACGGAGCCCAGGATGGGCGCGACGGGGCCTGGGAGGGGCGCGACGAGGCCCAGGAGGGGCGCTACAGGGCCCAGGAAGGGCACGACGGGGCCCAGGAGGGGCGCTACGGGGCCTGGGAGGGGCGCGACGGGGCCCAGGAGGGGCGCTACGGGGCCCAGGAGGGGCGCGACGGGACCCAGGGGGGGCGCTACGGGGCCTGGGAGGGGCGCGACGGGACCCAGGAGGGGCGCTACGGGGCCTGGGAGGGGCACGACGGGACCCAGGAGGGGCGCTACGGGGCCTGGGAGGGGCGCGACAGAGCCCAGGAAGGGCGCTAAAGGGCCCAGAAAGGGCGCGACGGGGCCCAGGAGGGGCGCGACGGGGCCCAGGAGGGGCGCTACGGGGCCCAGGAGGGGCGCTACGGGGCCCAGGAGGGGCGCGACGGGGCCTGGGAGGGGCGCGACGGGGCCCAGGAAGGGGCGCGACGGGGCCCAGGGAGGGGCGCGACGGTTCCCAGGAAGGGGCGCGACGGGGCTAGGGGGGGTCGCGACTGGGCTAGGGGGGCGAGCGGAAGCGGTTGGTGGGGGGGGGGATCCTACCTGCGCGTGATACCATATCAGAAATTGAAGTGTTGAATGATAGAGTGAGAGTACACACAATATACCTAAGTGTTGTACCCTCTAAGAGGCTACCCTATACAGTCTATACAAACATAACAAATAGACATGTTTGACAGACCCCCCATACAGAGTTGAGGCATCAGAGTACACTAGTAAAAAAAGTCTGAAAAATCAGCGTAGGTACATAAATCTTCTCTGAAAAATCAGTGTAAGGTACAAAAAAAAGTCTTCCCAATCTGAGTACACCCCCAAAAAAACTCTGAAAAAAGTCTGAATCAGAGTAAAAAGTCTGCAATTTGGGGGCCTGCTGTAGACTATACAGGTTTGTGCCTTAAAGGGTACAACACACTTGCCTATATTTCCTTGTACCCTCCTATTCTAACAGTCTTGTATATATTTTTCTACTGAATGTGACTATGGAGCTGCCGTGTCTACTGGTGCAGAGGGTGCTACAAGCGTGGCTACAGCTGTAGCAGGCACTACAGCCGTGGGCACAACAGCAGCTGGGTGGAGAAAGGGTAGAGGAGGGTACATCAAAAGCAATGCTGGTGTACAGTCTCTGGATTAGATGCCTCCAGGTGAAGTGGCATGTCTCTGTGATGCTTGTCTCTCTCATTCGTTTGTTCTTCCTGATGTGCCATCATGCTCTGCGGTTCAGTGACGTGAGCAGAGCAGCACCTAAGAGCATTACATATGATGGCTCTGCTCTGCTTTCGGACCGTATGATCACATATCCAAAGCTCTCATATTTTTATTTCCCTCAATGACAACTAATCACAGCCCCCACAGCCCACCACACAGCAACACCCAGGACAACGCACTACTCCCCCTCGCCCGCTCAATGAATACCACGAGTACCATAGGCTACCAGCCTACCACACAAACCACATGCTACCGAGTCACATTCGCTAGTCACCAACCATCCCACATGCTGCTCTCCTGCCCACATTAGACATCTCCAAAACGCGTGAGACGATGCGAGGCGTCAGTGCCTTCAGCAACCACACTCTATTACACCAACGAAGTGAGCTGGAGGATGTGGCCAATGCTGTCCCGCACGTTGTTAGCGCTGGCTATCTTTGTTATGCGTAGCGTGCCAGCACTGAACCTCGCAAAATCGCCCGTCGCCCCCGTTATGGCGAGTTCCACCCAGTTGTCCGTCCACTTTTCAGCAGCTGGAGGCGACATGGAGGAAACAGGTGGGGAGTGTATGGAACAGTAGGGTGTATCAGATGAGGAAGACCGCAAGTAAGGGGTTGAGGCTAGGGACACGACACGAATCGGTGACAGTGTAATGGGCGACGTTGGTTACAGATGCTTTTTGTCATGTCGTAAGCAGAGGCCCACCTGATGCGGTAACATATCCGATGCCGAAATTGAGGCTGGCGGTGAACATCACGACGTTATTGTTGGTCAACATGTTATCAACCACAATGTTGAGCTGCCCGACCTGCCCCGAGGAAGGAAACGGAAAAAGTAGCATTCCAAGAGATAGGGTGCAGACTGAAAACTGAAGTGGATCCGACAAATCCGCGAGCCGCTGAAGTGTGTTCAACAGAGAACTGCCATGCCGTACGCTAGAAATCTGCATTGTAGTAAGAGATTGATACCCTGTAGCAGATGATGAAGGTTCTACCAGTACCTTGTCTGCGAGTTGGAAATCAGAGAAGAGATTCGAGCTACCGCGGAGGCTGATGAACGATGAGTCCTGCACGGAATGGTCCGGAGATAAACGAAACGACAGCTCGTTAGACCCAGCACGCGGCATGATGATGGTACGCAAGGGAAACGAAACGAGAGGAGGCAGGCGTTAGACGGTCACGCGAGCGTGCACGAATATTAAAAGCTCAGCATGTCTGGCAGCAAAGCGCAGGCAACTCACGGTGTAGGGGAAGTCCACAAGATCGTAGAGTGTAATAGTGCGCGCAGAATATGGGACCACTAACTTCTTAGCACCAGGAATCTGTTTGTAGTCAGGCCCTGCATGAGAAAACAATACGAGCAACAATCATCATATGGAGAGTCGCCAGCTGGTCTGAGAAGCAAAGGAGATTCATTCAAATTTGTCATGGACGACGCGTAGTATGATCGGACGCACATCGACGAGCTGCAACGAGCTGCGCGCAGAGAGCGAGCGCCAAGAGCGCGACGAGGCCGACGCGATTCGCGCAAGCCATGGCGACGGAGCGGAGCGAGCGGAAGCGAGTCGAGAAGTCGAGGAGTTGGAGACAGAAGACGAGAGCTGGTGCGTTGAGAAATCAGCCGCTGGAGACTACCAATTTGGAGATGGAGAATGGGAATGAGGAGGAGCGAGTTAAATCCTGAAATTTGGAAGCGCGAAACTTCGGTGGGGGGAGGAGGGAGGGGGGCGGGGAGCTTCCGCTGGAGAAGGCGCGGCAGTGGAGGCGCGATGACCGAAAGGCGGCTACTACATCCTGCACGTTGTGTCCAGGTGCTTCGGGGCACCTGTACACGACGACAGCATAGAGGTCTTCGAGGTAGGAATTTTGGGATGTACACAGCCGTTTTTCTGGACCATCGTGGGACGATCACTGGCGCACGAGAGTAGGGGAGGAGACGAGGCATCTGACCTAGGTGCGCGACGAAACGAGTGGCTGTTGGCATCCATCCGGCTCGGTGTACACCTCGGAGTACATCATCCACCATCGTCTCAGAATGGGTCTGGTCTGCTGAATTTGATGGCGGCGGCTATGGACCGCTGTACTACAGCCTGTACTGCAGCCCAAACTTTTCCGGATGGACGCAACATGCCCCGGCCCCTCTTGTCATCCTCTCGTCTTGCCCCGCCGCTGGGGGGTGACTCGTCAGCCGAGGAGATCGTTGCGAAACGTGTGCGACAGCTGCTCTCGCGTCGACGAAAACTGAAAAGAATTGAGATAAAGACAAAAGAGTATGATTGTACCATTGAATAGGACAAGAGGGCAATAGTAGACCTGTAGCACATGTAAATGGAATTATACTGTGCTTGTAAAGAATTAGTGGAAAGGTACTCAAGTGAGTAAAAGGGGACTTGTGGAGAGAAAGATGCTTATAAAGAAGAGTGAGAGACTTACTTATGTGTGTCTTACAAGGTAGAGAAGCTGTAGAATCTTGGGAGCGGTTCTTGATAGAGGAAGTTTTGCACTTGGGAAAGGGTCTTGAGCTTGGAAGGATACCACAAGCTTGAGAGGAGACCACAATCTTGGATGTGGTTGAAGGAGATGGTCTTGTACTTGAAGAGTGAAGATACCACAAGGTTGAGTGTTGAAGAAGTAAGTCTTCCTACAAGCTTGTGGCTTGGTGATGCATCTTATACTCGAGTTGGGTATAAGATGGACTAATGCTTGATTACTTTGCTAATCTAGGAACTTTGTGGGAGAACTCTGAGAGTATAAACTTATATAAAATAGGGTATAGTACAAGCCTTATAATCTATGGTGGATACAAGGACATGCATGAGAGAGAGACCACTCATGGTAGTCTAGGAAGAAAGGTAGCATGGTAATACCATCTCTAGAGACATAGAACATGAATGCTAACAAGGAGCCTTTGTAGTGGTGTGAACTTGAGGAGCTTGAAGAAGACTTGAAAGGGAGCTTGGAGGAGAGGAGCTTGGAGATGCCTTGTTGTACTTTGAGAAACTTCTTGAGAAGTTGGAGAGGATTCTTGGTGAAGATGAATAGTAGTGGAGCATGTAATGGTTGTTGAGCCTTTGGTGACTTGGAGTTGTAAACCATGTGGTGTTAGAGAGAAACTTGGATGAGTTGGAAAGGAAGGAGAGGAGGAGGAATGAAAGCTTTGTTGAGTTGGAAGGTGAGGAATGTAAGGAATCATGAGAGTCTTGTGTGATGGTATGGCAACTTGGATGACTTGGGATAGGAAGGGAGGAAGGAATAAATAAGGGGCATGTGGAGGTTGATGAGTAGGGAAGGGAGGAATGTGCTTGAGGCACATGTGAGGAGGATTATTGGTTGGAGTAGATGACTTGGAGAATTCTTGATGAGTAGGAAGAGAGAGCACATGAAAAAATGATGAAGAGTCATGTGCCTTGAGGTGGTAGTTGGAGATGAATAGGAGGAGTGGTTGGAAGCTTGGTTGAGGTGGACTAGGAATGATTATGAGAGTTGGGGAAAATTAAGGAGTAGTTGGGAGGTCTTAGGTTGGAGGAGATGAGCTGGAAAAGTTGGGTTGGAAATTTGGTAGGTAGAGTAGGTTTGGTTGGTGGGAAATGGGTTGGGGTAGGTGAAGAATAGTAACGAGCGGATTTGGAGGGGGAGGGGTTGGAGTGGCGAGAGAAATGTGGCACGCGCATCACGTGCCACTCACAACAAAAACAACGCTATAACAACATCCCAAAATTGTGAATTGGGTGGGGTTCCAACCCAATTGCGAAGTGGGGTCAATGTTTGGGGCTATCAAAGTAAGGGTGCCTTCTAGGCTCGAGGCAAACCCCGAGGCAGGGCTTCGGGGCATCAGTTGTACGAGTGAGATCGCCCAAGCCCTCACTTTGTTTGATCTCACCCATATAATTGATGCCCCGAAGCTCTGCCTCGAGGCTTGCCCCGAGCCCGGAATGCGCCCTAACGACGAATTTGTTGCACAGCCCCCACTTTGCTGTTGCAACCACTTCGTGTCCAGGGACGAACCCTTCGCAAACACATATCAGGCAAGGAGTCTGGGAATTCCCTACGACGTACCACATGCGGTCTCGTGGCCCGTCCAAAGATGCCACGCTGTCTGTCGCCCGATTCAATGTGTCAGACGAAATCTCCGCGACGTGTAAACAACCATTGTACTCACGAGGCGATCATTCCTGATTGGTTGACGAAGAACATCGGATCGCACCGAGTGACGACACAATTACCGTAATCCCCTGTATATAACGCCCTATAGTGGATATGAAAATTCACTAAAAAAAGGAGTGGGTGTTACAGTGGACCGGAAAAATATAACGCCCATGTGTTATGTAAAATGCAAAATGAATTCGAGTGTTCCATGCCCTATTTGCCCATAAGGGTGCGGAGCAGCTGCTAACGAGGAAAAACAATTTGATTTTCCTGTCTCCCCCACAATATCGCAACCCCCTGGCCCAACGGTTTCAGTTCCCCCCGACAATTTCGTTTCCCCCTTCACCGACAATTTCGATTCCCCCTTCACCGACAATTTCGAATCCCCCTTCCCCTGAAAATTTTGAATCCCCCTTCCCCCCACATTTTCGATTCCCCCTTCCCCCCACATTTTCGATTCCCTTTTCCCCCACAATTCGATTCCTCATTCCTCTCAATTCGATTCCCAACAATTCAATTCTGCCCGGTTTTCCGGTGCTAATGGTTGTTGACGCACGATTTCATCATGCTCGCTTTTTGCAGTTGAGCGGCCCTTGTAATACAAGAACAAATTCAGTTTTAAAACGATTAAAACGAGGAGGGTGTTATGTAAAATTCAATGCCAAAAAAACGGGTGCTCTCAAAAATGCACCGTATCATAAGCTCCCCCCGCATTAACCACCCACGGAGTGACTATTTCGGCGGGTGTTATATACGGGGGATTACGGTACTTACGGTATCGGAAAAGCTTGCGAACCTCTCAACATCCTGGCTCGCTTTGTGGCCACAGGCAGACACCGACCACAGCACTGGTCGGCCGCTAAGAGGGTTTGACGTTATCTAGCAAGTACAGCGAGCATGGGGCTAGTGCTAGGAGGACGCGGACCAGTGGCCTTTACAGGGCACACAGACACTTCGTGGGCAGACGGTGCTCAAACGCTCAGGTCCTCCCAGTGCTACTGCTTTAGCCTTGGTGCAGGCGCCATCTCGTGGAGGTCCACTCGCTCATCGTCTGTTGCCCAGTCTAGCTGTGAGGCTGAGAACTACACTGGTGACATGGCGGCACAGGAGCTCCGCTGGGTGACTTTCTTGCTCACAGACTTAGGTGAGCGGCTTAGCTCTGCCCTGGTCGTGTATGCTGACAACAGGGCCATGATCCTCATGTGTCAGGAGCCTCGACTGGAGGGCAGAGCGAAGCACATCTAGCTGCGGTACTTCCTCTTGGGTGAGCTACAGCAGCTCCGCGAGGCCCGCGTTGTTCACTTGGCCTCCGGTGCCAACATATGTGATATCTTTACGAAGGCGCTTGCGCCTAAAGATCATCAGCGACACTGTGTACAGCTTGGTCTAGTTCCTGTAGCTTCTCATTTACTAGGACCTTGATTGTGTACTACATCTTACATTACCTTGACTGGCCTTCTGGTTCCTGTTCTAGTGGCTGGACTAGTAGTGCCGCCCTGGGTTACTCTTGTTTCCTTTGTACTCTTGCTGACTGGTCATCAAACCCTTGCCTTAGAGGTTGGACTAGTAGTGCCACCTTGAGCTGTGTATCTCTTGCTAGTCGTTGCCCCTTGTCTAGCCTAGGGGGTGTGTCAACATATATTTGTATATGTTATAGGCTAGATAGATGCATGCTCATAGAGAGTACAACTCCTCAGGACAGAACCACCCTGTATCAATCATTCTAGTTCATAGCGTTATTATGAGAGGTTGTCCTCTCTACAGTAGGAACCAATTCTTTGTAGTACACCTACCTAGCCTATATATATATATATATATGAAATATATATGTTAACACACCTCCTAGGCTAGGTAGGCGCTACTCACAGAAGCAAGAGACCAGGGGGGGAGCACTACTAGTCCACTGGTTTGAGTAGTAAGAAGAAGTCACAACACACCACACACCAAGCACCTCTAAGACCAACACCTCCTAGGCCTAGCACTCCATACCCAGCAGTAGCGGTGGCTTCTTCAGCTCGTTCGACCCCTAGGCGTGCGAGGCCGCGACGTCGGCAGCGAGGGCAGCGGCGGCCGCAACGACAACAGCGGCGGCAACGTCGGCCGTGGCGGCGGAGCCCGCGGCACCCGGGAGCATGGTACGACTCCGCGACGGCGGGGAAGGACCGAGCGAGTCAACCGTCAGCTGCGGCGGGGAGGAGGGGGGACGCAGGGGAGGGGGCGGGTCTTGTGCAGCGGAGCCAGGTAGCGAGCCGCCCTAGCTGGCGCGCTGGCTGGCATGCGGGCGTGCTGGCCGGCACTAGATCAGTGCGATGGCCGCTGCCGTCCATGCACTGGCACGTCGAGGCCGCCACAGCAGCACGACGAGGCCGCCACAGCAGCGCGACGAAGTTGCCATGGCAGCGCATCGAGGCTGCCATGGCAGCGCATCGATGCTGCCATTGCAGCGCAACGAGGTGGCCTCGGCGGCGCGACAGTCGGAGGAGAAGAGAGAGTGCGCTGCGGAAGCCTGGGGAGAAGGCCCGAGCGAACGGACCTGCTCTGAAACCATGTCATAAGAGGTTTTAGCTAGGTAGGAGAAGTTTAGCGAGAGAAAAGAGTGTTGACTAGACAAGAGAGAGAGGTACAAGAAGGGGGTTGTCCTCTCTACAGTAGGAACCAGTACTTTGTAGTACAC